TCAGTATGGCAGAAAATCTATAGATAACATTAAAGATTAATAATGAAGTCGTAGACGTATAAGCACAGAATTAAGGGAACTCCCAATAGCAATTAAAATCATTAATAGAATTCTACTTATGAGTCACCTAGAGAGCACCAAGGAGTGACACTCTACAAGATAAGTACTCTTTAGTGTTTTCTAAATGATGTGCGCATATTCGCTTGATCAAAAAATGATTTTGTCAAGGCCAGAGTCAAGATTCAGTGAATGAAAGTGCTCCCCCCTAAATCTGTCTAGTGAGCGCGATCCCAGGACTTTGGTTAGAAGGAGACAACTGACTTCCCCGTGTCCTCTGACATCCACGTGAATACCATGGCATGAGTATCCTCCTTCCACACACACATGTGCGTATAAGAAATGTAACAAAATTGCCTTGTTGGAAAATCAGAAAGAAAATGAATGAGAAGTTGAAAGTGAGATCATGAAAGCAACCGTGCTAATGGAGTTGGCAGTGAAATGGGAAGAGGTGAAGAATTCTCTCTGCTGCAGGAAACCCTTAATCATTCAATGACTTAAAGAGAAGAAATACCCCCCTCCCTTCCTGCAGATGAGGAAACAGGCTCCAAGAAGCTAATAGAGGGGCAGGGAGTGTGGCTCACTGGCAGAGCATGACTCTGCCGTCTGAGGGACCCTAAGTTCCATCTCCAGTACTGCTATAGGTACATCCCATGGAAGATACAGGAAGATGAAGGAAATTGCCCAAAGACATAGACAAAGAGCTCAAATTGACAATACTTACAGTGAACCCAACTCTCTATGTAGTTTGGACCACTGGCAAGCAAGAGGATACAGTGGAATCTTGAATGAGCAGGAAACACATAGATATTGGTATAAGGTTCAAAGTCATCAGAAGCTAATTCAGACATGGTGGCACATTCCTACAAATGCAGCACTCAGGAAGGATGCAGGAGGCTCTGAAGTTGAGGCCAGCATAAGATTCTGTCTTAAAGGAAAATAAAAGAATGAAAGAAACACCCCCCCCATACACACATAACACACAAAGAGATAGAGACAGAGACAGAGAGACAGGGACAGAAAAACTAACAATATCAGAACCCAAGATGCTCATGAGGATCTGGAGAGCTAGCTCAGCAGTTACTGCTTTTCCAGAGGTCCCAAGTTCTGTCCCCAGCACCCACGTGGGGTGGTTTATGACATCCTGTAACTCCAGCTCCAAGATTATCTGATGCGCTCTTCTGGCCTCCGTGGGAACCCACACATACATATAAATAAAACCAAAAATAAATCTTTGGGGGGAAAAAAGTAAAACTGTTTACAAGAGAGAGGGAACAATGGAGCCAAGTCTTAGAAAGCTTGGGGGAGGCAGCCTGGTGATTGATATGAGACAGGGTTTGCCTTTAAAGAGAAAAAGTAGTTTCACTTCTCAAGCACACAGAACAGACATGCTAGAGGCACCCTTCCTGGGCTGGAATGGGAGGAGTAGGGAAAGTGAGGTGGTCATACCTCCCCCACTCTCCCTATTCCCCCAACTCCCAGTGAGAGGCTGATTATTTCCCTATGAATAAATGAGTAAGAAAGCTGGTGGTCTTCCCTGGACCTTGAGAGGCAGGGTGAGCTGAAAATCAGCTGGAGCAAATAAAAAAGAGGGCACCCAGGTTTAGTGGACACATAGCTTCCTCCATTATGCTTGATTCCCAGATGAACAGGTATGTAGTTATTTATCTGAACTGTATAGCTCAAAGATCAAGTGCTATTTTAGCTGTCAACTCTTAAGGAAAAACCCTGAAGGATAGGGAAACTGCTTTGAAATCAGAACCCTGAAGTGGCGCCACCTTAACCAGAATAGGACATAACATATAGGCAGCCTTAGTATGGAATTGTAAGGTGGGAACACAGGGCTTCCAGGCTGAAAAGGGGCAAGAATGCCAGCCAGGAATTAGTTGGGGGGCATCCTTCTTAGCGATATCTTCAATACTATGGGTCTTGAAGGGTGTGTGGCTGGGAACAGCTGGCTGGACTTTTTAATTTGCCCATCAATTGTATACATTTTACACCCCAGAGGTATATGATAATGGTGACTATTACCAAATCACCATCAGTGAGATAACTATGTTCTTTACAACACTGGGCCAGGCTGCATGTTGTGCTCAGCTGTGATGTGTACAACAGAAATTTCTCCCAAGCAATTCTTTGACACACTTGAGGTTTATCTCTGGTTTGGTGTGGTGGTTGGGATTGTACAGTCTGTCCACAGTCACATCTCACATTAACCAACATGATTAATATAGCTGGAGCCCATTTTTCTTGTTTGTAAAATTAGGATAGTAGTACCTATCTTGTAGTGATTATATACATATATATGACACTTAGAATCTGGTATATAATTACTGACAGTACAGCTTTTCTTTAGGTCTATAAGAAGGGCCCTGAGAGTTTCAGATAGCATTCATTAGTAGGTAGCTAAGTTTGTAGAGTATTTACCTAGCATGCATTAAAAAAAAAACCCTGGGTTTAATCCCCAGCACTGTTTCAACATAAAGCCAGAGGTGGTGGCATACCCCTATAACACCAACACTTGATAAATGGAAGCAGGAAGATCAAAAACTGAGGTTGTCTTTGGTTGATATGAGTGGATTTTGAGTCCATCCTGCGCTATAGAAGCATCTAATATCTATAGTTATACAGATCTGTAACTATATATGTGATATAACTAATCTTAGCTGTAAACTGTAGACGGAAGTTTCTGTCCCTCACTTGACGTAAGGAAATAGCTAAGTTAGCTGGGCATGCCTATGGGGGATTTTCTCGACAAATTTGGGTCGCACCTTCTGGCGTCAGTCCACATAAAAGGACGTGGAAGAAGAAAGCTTTTGCTTTTTGCCTGCTTGCCCCCTCTCTAGCTGACAAGTTCATCCATCCTGCTGTGGAGGCATCCCTTCACTTTGCTAGAACCCAGTCTTCAGGATTCCAATGGAGACTGAACACCAGCTGCCCTCTTGGAATCCTCCAGGATTCCTGAACCAGACCAGGACCCCTGAGACACTCACCCTTAAGGACTCTTGGCTACTGGATTCTTGACCTGTCAGAAGATAGCCATTGTTGGACTAGCCAGATCACAATCAGTTCTATCCTTCGGAGAATGCTGACTATGGAATATGTATACCCCCCCATCTCTTTCTTTTCTTTTGAGGTAGAGTCTCAGTATATAGTCCTGACTAGCCTGGAACTAGTTATGCAGACCAGGCCAGCTTCAAATACCTGCCTGCCTCTGCCTCTGGAATGTTGGGATTAAAGGTATTTGCCACCGCTCATAGCCTAGGGATAGAACCCAGGATGTTGTACATGCTAAGGAAATAGCCTACCCAAGCCTTTGTGTGTCTGTGTGTGTGTGTGTGTGTGTGTGTGTGTGTGTGTGTGAGAGAGAGAGAGAGAGAGAGAGAGAGAGAGAGAGAGAGAGAGAGAGAGAGAGAGAGAGAGAGAGTGTGTGTGTGTGTATCTAGTATCCCACGGTGTGTTTCATCTCATTATATAGCACTGGATAACCTTGAACTCCTTATCTTCTCGCCTCTACAAATTCTGAGATTACAGGCACTCGCCACTGTGCCTGGCTGTTTGTTTAGTTTCATGATACAGATATACTGCTGAGTGTGATAGCCCACGGCTGAGAGCTAAGCCAGCATGACCTGAAGTATGAGGCAGCATGGGCTACTCATTGAAACAGCACCTTCTCCCTCCACACTGAATTCATTAGTAATCGTCTCATGCACACCTGAAGACAAGTACAATCAGAAGGATCAACTTGAAACAGTCTAAGTGTGGGAGTCTGCTCTGTTAAGGAAAGTCATTGGAAATTTTCACGTGTCTGATTGGCAGCATTTGAGACAGCAGGCAAGACACTTTGGCTTTGGGGGACCCAGCTCTGCTACATACTAACTGGTCTCTCGGACTGAGGATTTCCACCCTGGGTGGAATAGTCCGCGGTGGGGCTTGCTTCACAGAGCAGTGTCCATTACATCTTGAGACAGCAAGGTGCTGTGTTTGCGCTTGGAGACCTCCTAAGTCAGTGGTGGGTGGCGGAGGGGGCCTTGCCGGGGCTGTGCTGTGGTAGACTTGAATGGTCTCCTCTTTCAAATGAAACAAGTCTCAAACTCACTATTTTCCGGGGGAGACTGGACAGCTGTTGTCTTGGTTTCCATGTTGTTTTGCAAGTTCTGCAGTTTGTGGGTATGTACCTTACAAGGCTGTCAATGAGTGCTTAAGCAGCTACTTTTTTTTTCTGCAAGTTCATAAAATCCCAGAAGGTAGGGGTCTGTTGTTTATTCATTCAGCCTCTTTTGAGTCATTCAGGTACAGGGTGTGTCTGTCAATTGAAACTGTACAGCAGAGGAAGTTTTGCATTCACATCTGCTTAGGGTGGGAAGGCAGTGCGACTTGGGTGAAACCTTTTTTAACAGGAGGGTGAGGCATAAAGGCCCCCAAGCCTCCTTCTCAAACAAACCTAACCAAGGTCCCTGCAGCCTCAATCTCTTAAGCATTATCTACTAAGAGAAAATGTGGGCGAGGTGCGGCTCTTTAGAGTTTGGGGGAGGGGAGGGTCTCTTAGTTATCTCCCAAATAGAAAGAGAGAGAAGGGATCCCAGCCTCAGCCGGGCAGCGGCAGGCACTGGCCTGTGAAAAAGCAGCCCTTTTCCCCTGTGGACAGTCTTGAGTTGCCTCACTGTTTTACACCTCTGAGGTCGGGGTTAGCAGCCCACCTCCTCAAAGGCCTCAGCGCTTCCCAGAATCTGGGACACACCGCCTGGCTTTGCGCTCAGCTGAGAGAGGGGAACCCCCACCCAACACCAAGCCGGGCGCTGGCCCACTTCACCGTGCGCCCGGGGAAAGCCACTTTCTGCCCACCAGACCGCAAACTTGAAGGCTTGTCTAGGATCGGAGTGGAGGGTGGGGGGAGGAGGACAGAAGCATTTCGATGCCTTCGGGCCGCCCGCCTCGGGCCTCTCTCGCAGTTCCTTCCCAGGATCTCCTCCCTGCGGCACGGCGGCGGCTCTTTCGGCTGAGGCTCGGGTTTCCCCTGACCGCGTGGAAGCGGCTCCTAGGGCACCAGGCCACTCGGGTCATTCGGATCCTCAGGGCTGTCGGATCCGGGACCAGGAAGGAATTCTACGAGACGCACGCTTGTCCTCCGCTCTCTAAGATTTTTAACGAAGAAAAGTTTCTCCAGGGATCCCCGTCTCTACTTTCTGAGTCCTCAGCAGCCCCGGGGACCGTGGGTAGAAGGCGAGAGATGTGCTATGTGAACTAGAATTTAGGGGCTGCCAGGCTCCGCCTGCTTTCCCCCCGTCTCTCTGCTGGTTTCGGAGGAGGGGCTCCTATTCATTTCGTTTTTATTTTAGTCACTCTGCCGCAGACCTTCCTTGGAGGCTGCTTCTCAGAAGCCTGGACCCGGAGGGGCCCCCTGTCGCTGGCAGAGGGCGGAGGAGTTAAAGGCATTAACCCCTCCCAGTCCCTTCCTAGAGGAGCCACCCAGCCTCGGCGGGGCGCTCAGAGACTCCGCTCTGCAGAGTGGTGCGGGCAGCGGCAGGCAGGGCTGGCCATTGGCGTGCACCGCTGCGGAGGGAGGGGGCCCCAGGGCAGAGAACTTTGCGAGTGAGCTGGTCGCCGTCATTCGAGGACAGCAGCAAGATGCGGACCGCACGGTGTAGACCCAGAGCCCTGCGGACGCGGCTTCGTCCGGCTTGAGAGAGGTAGGGGCTTGCTTGCTGCGGGGCGCCCAGATGCCAAGAGCTAAGCTTTAAAACCGTACGAAACAAACAAAAACTTTGCAGACACACACACACAAAAGTGCATTACTAGGTTACTATGGAGCCCATCGTGACTGGCTTCTTGTTGGGGCACGGAGTTAATGAAGTTCTGAAATGAATTAATCCTCAATTTGTGAGAAACAGCTGGGGGGGGGTGTGAGGGGACGGAGACGCTGCGGTTCATTAAAGGAGAGACGCTTTTTGGAAATTCTAGAGATAGAATTATCAGTCCCCCATGGCAGTGACTTCCACTGCCTGAGAGTGGACTGTCCGATTAGGGTGAGGAGACGCTGGGTTTCCTGAACTGTTCTGTCATAGAAATGACTTAATTGTTCTAGGTTGTTTTTTTTTTAACTTCGTTTTTATCGCGTTGATCCATTATCAGGCTGTCTTTAAGGTGCTTAATCAGTGTTGTGTGTCCTTCCTCTAGGTGTTACCAGTTATGTGAGAGAAGGCAATGTTGGGGGTGTGGGGCGAGGACGGGCATTAATAGCATTGATAAAACTGCCCATGGAAATTTAACAGTATGTGTTTCTGGAAAGTCGTGTAGATAGAAGTCAGTAGAAAGTGTCATGCTTCGTTATCCCTAGCAGGGTGACTTCTCCGTGCATGCTTGTGTTGGCTAAAGTTAAAATAGGCAATCAGTTCGTGGAGAAACTTCTGGGATTTGTTGAAATCTCGTAGGAGGGGTTCTCGATGAATACCATTAAACTTAATAAGTTTACGTGTGGGGGGTTGGGTGGGGAGGAGGAGTAAAGAAAAAAAAGTAAGAAGAAGACTAGGCAGTTGCTTCACGGAGGCGCCTAGCTTTCCTGTTTACCGCGAGGCCTGGCGGCCCACACCTCACTGCGCCCTCCACCCAGACCCTTAGCACACCTGCTCCTAGGGAGTTATTAATAGAGCCCAGAAGACGATTTACGTTGTCAAATGACCCTCCCGCAAATCTGCTTTCTTGCATGGTAATTAGGAGGTTGGTGTGTGTGTGTGTGTGTGTGTGTGTGTGTGTGTGTGTGTGTGTGTGTCGGGGGGAGTACATGTCAGCACTGCACTTGGAATTGGCAGTTGTGTCCTTCTGTAAGAAGAGGCCCTTGGGCTGGTGGTGACCAAGTGCCTGAGCTGGTGACCACTTACAGGAATCTCAGGGTTGGAAGCTGGAGGTGGCTGTGTCAGGGGAAATGGTGAGGGCTTGAGAATTAGACCGGGGTACTGTTTCCCATTCCCGCCTTGGTGGATTTGGTGGTTGCCCTCCAGTCAGGTTTCATTCCTGGTAAGTTTTGTTGTTTTCTCCCTCTCTCTCTAACTTCATCTCTATCTCTCTCTCTCTCTCTCTCTCTCTCTCTCTCTCTCTCTCTCTCTCTCTCTCTCTCTCTCCCCTTTATTTTGTTTTGTTACTAGAAACGATAATTTGAGTTTTTAAAAAATCCTCCTTATGCTCTGTCCAAGTTTCCTTAAAACAAATCAACAACAAACTGGAGCAATCCCTTGGCCAGAATGAATTCTGCTAGTGTGTTGGGCCTTTCCCCTGATTCTCTTTTCTTTGTAACTTCTTTAAGGCTGCTGTTTCGGAGGCCCTCTCCAGCCAAGGAAAAGCTACACAAAAAGCTTTGGATTGCTCACTGACAGGGCCCTGCTGTATCTGAAGGACCGCTCAACCTCGCCCTCTAGCGTTCGTCTGGAGAAGCACCACCCCGGGCTCCTGGGGACACACTGCGGCTATGGTGTCCACCAGCGTCCCGGTGGTTAAGCCCCTCCTCCGTAGCTCTGTCTCCGACTATGGCAACTATGATATCATAGTGCGGCATTATAACTACACAGGCAAGTTGAACATCGGGGTGGAGAAGGACCATGGCATTAAGCTGACTTCAGTTGTCTTCATTCTCATCTGCTGCTTCATAATCCTAGAGAATGTATTTGTCTTGCTAACTATTTGGAAAACCAAGAAGTTCCATCGGCCCATGTACTATTTCATCGGCAACCTGGCCCTCTCGGACCTGTTTGCAGGAGTGGCTTACATAGTTAACCTGCTGTTGTCTGGGGCCACCACCTACAAGCTCACCCCCGCCCAGTGGTTTGTGCGGGAAGGGAGTATGTTTGTGGCTCTGTCTGCCTCGGTGTTCAGCCTACTTGCCATTGCCATCGAGCGCTACATCACCATGCTGAAGATGAAACTACACAACGGGAGCAACAGCTCACGCTCCTTCCTGCTCATCAGCGCCTGCTGGGTCATCTCCCTCATCCTGGGTGGCCTGCCCATCATGGGCTGGAACTGCATCAGCTCGCTGTCCAGCTGCTCCACCGTGCTCCCGCTCTACCACAAGCACTATATTCTCTTCTGCACCACCATCTTCACTCTGCTCCTGCTGTCCATCGTCATCCTCTACTGCAGGATCTACTCCTTGGTCAGGACTCGAAGCCGCCGCCTGACCTTCCGAAAGAACATTTCCAAGGCCAGCCGCAGTTCGGAGAAGTCGCTGGCCTTACTGAAGACTGTCATCATTGTTCTGAGTGTCTTCATTGCCTGCTGGGCCCCTCTCTTCATCCTACTGTTGCTGGATGTGGGCTGCAAGGCGAAGACCTGCAGCATCCTGTACAAAGCAGAGTATTTCCTGGTTCTGGCTGTGCTGAACTCAGGTACCAACCCCATCATTTACACTCTGACCAACAAGGAGATGCGCAGGGCCTTCATCCGGATCATGTCCTGTTGCAAATGCCCCAACGGAGACTCCACTGGCAAATTCAAACGGCCCATCATCCCAGGCATGGAATTTAGCCGCAGCAAATCAGACAACTCCTCCCACCCTCAGAAGGATGACGGGGACAACCCAGAGACCATTATGTCCTCTGGAAATGTCAACTCTTCCTCCTAAGACTGGAAGCTGTTGATACTGGGGAAGCATTCTGACTTGGTCACTCACTACCCCAGAACTTAAAAAAATGGCTCTCATTCCCCCACTGCTGCCTGGAAGGAGCTACTGGGAGCCTGAGAGAGGGAGGGAAGGGAGAATGTGTGACCGGGTGATGCCATGGTGTAGGTAGTAGTTCTTGTGAACAATGCACTGGGAAGGGTGGAGATAAGGTCTGGCCTCCAGTGGGTTTCCTGCCCTCCCCCATACCCTGGAGCTTTGATTTTGCACTGAGCCAAAGGTCTAGCATTGTCAAGCTCCTGAAGGGATCATCTGACCCCTTCTCAAAGACTAAGGTCCCATGAGAAAGTGTCCCTGGAGTTTTTGCGATGTCATCTTTCACTGTAAAGGCAAAGTGAGTATGTGTCCTTCAGCTTGGTAGGGTGGCATGCATGCCCCGCTCTCCGGCTCCTTCTCACCCCCTCTCTCCTTCCCACCCCTTCTCCAAATTCTTTTCTTTTATTTCTTGTCTGTTCTTCAGAAGGAGGCTCTACAGGGCTGTACTTCTTGATTGTCCGAAACTGGCAGGCTGGTAACTTGTAAGGCTGTTTGCTGAGGCCAAAGTTTCCATGTATAATGGGTCAAGTTGGTGGTGATTTGGTAGGCCATCTTTAGTATGAAAACATTTTCTTTATTCATCACAAATTCCTTATTCCCATTACAAGCACGATAGACTTGTGTTTGTAATGGGAATAATGAAGACTACTTTATTTGAATTGTGTCAGGCAGAATTGTAGAAAAAAACAGGAGAAAAACAGCAGAATAAGGTGAACGGTGGTATTAACTTTTAAAAACCAAGAGTGACTTCTTGATGTCTTTCCTCTAACAAATACAATGTCTTTGGCACTTTTATTGATTATTTTGGAGTGTTGTGTGAAATCCATTTCAAACAACTGGGGGATGGTTTTATCTTGTTTAAAATACAATTTATGGTTTTTGAATGTATTTGCTTCTTTGGGGCCATCTTATTGAGTTTTTTCCTAACCTGTGTTAACACCATTGAATGTGTAGTCCTTAAGAAAGTGTCACCCTTTTGTACCGGAAAAGCATTACTTTAACTGACAGGGGACATCAGGAATTCTTCATTTCGGCTGTCATTAGATATGGATGGAGGGTGTAAATGTTACAGAGAATAAAGTATATTACTGTCTCTTTAGTATGGTTTTCAGTGCAATTAAACAAAGAAATGTCTTTTTTAAAAAAATAGTATTTAATAGGTTTCTGACTTTTGTGGATCATTTTGCACATAGCTTTATCAACTTTTAAACATTAATAAACTGATTTTTTTAAAGATCCTTTTGTGAAGAGAACTTTTTAAAAATAATTTACTAAGATATCTGTTGATTGTATGGTTCTTTGGAGTTAAAGTTAAGATCAAATTTGTGGTACCCTTTAAAAGCTTTTACCTTGATAAACTATGTATGGAAAAATGTGGTTTGTTTAGAAGCCACTCTAGCTTTTTTAGGAAGAGAAACTTCAATAAACTAACATTAAAGACATGTAGAGAATAAGAGAAATATTATCAACCTTCTAAAGACAACAGCAAATAAATGTTAACTATTTGGATTTCAAAGTGCATTGAGGTTAGACAAAACTAAGTGTGATAATTCCATTCTAATATATAGTCTTCTAAAACACAACAATAAATTCTTAAATCTGTTTTAAATTATGATTAAGTTGATCAGTTCAAACCCAACCTCAACAGCATATATTCTTGATCTTTTAGCAATATGCTAGGGAAAAGAAAACATGGTTAACAGGAGATAATATGAAGTCACTTGGTACTTTTGTACTTTTATTGGTTTCTCTGTTCTTGAGTCAAAGTCTAGTGGGTTCCAGGCTTGCCTCATGCTCACTCTGAGGATGAATGGCAACTTTTAATCCTCCTGTTTCCACTTCATCCTCAGTGCTTGGCTCAGGTTTATGCTGGGCTGGGGATTGAACCTAGGTCCTTACACATGCTAAATAAGCACTCTACCAGCTGACCTGTATGTCCAGCCTCCAAGTTATCCTGTGTTCTAGGACACCATCTTGAGTTCTTATGAGAAAAATATGAGACTATGCAATATCAGTTATAACAAGTAGAATATAGGGTGGGTGATCACCCCCTTACACGCATACCTTTTTAAAATTTCCTCAGTATTCCTGACCATTTAACTATTCCCACTAAAATGAAAGCAAGTGCGAAATAAAAGCATACAATACAAAATTGTTACAACAGTTAACTCTTGGAGTTATTGTCATCTTTACTGCAGATTAAACGGGAGTGCTTTGGTATGTTTGGCTTTCCAGCCTATTGTTGTTTTTCAGAATTTGTGTTTTCAAGTGTCATTGAGTATGCACAGGACAGGACACAGTTGGGACATGAAGATAAACCTCACCTACTAGAGTAGATGTCATTTCTGGGTGAGGTTGACTGTGGGAAACAGAGTGTGTTCACTAAGGAAACCTTAGGTCATAACCTCCAGCATCCTGAAGGAAATGCCAAAAGTGCTTGGAAGACAAAGGGCTGGAAACAAATGAGAATGTCTCTATCCATCTGTCTGCCTAGGCGGAAGGGGTGACTTCATGTTCCACTCACTTCCTCCGGCTTTCATTACAGACTCGGGAATAATGGAAAAGTGTGTCCATTTTGCTTCAGTAGATGATAAAACTGTACTTTGGGACTTATCTCCAAGCACAGGATGACTCATGATACGGAGCAGATGGGAGCTCCTTGGTGACAGGAGGTTAATCTTCTTGTCCATCTCTGAGCACAGCATCCTGTGGACGTGCCTTCTTCTAGTGCCACCGGACAGTGGATGTCATTTGGAGAAAGCTGGGCAGTTGTAGTTGTGTGGAAGCCCCAGTCCTAGTCAAGATGCCAAGGCAGAGAGGAAGGAATCTGTGGTTGTATTCTACCATGATATCGGATCTTAATTGAGTATACTCTAAAGAGTAACATGAGAAAAACTCTCAGTGATTGACATATATATATATGTATATATATATATATATAACATGTGCATCCGTATATATGCATACATAGCTGGGGATGTAGATCTGTTGGTAGAGAGCTTGTCTAGCATGCAGAAAGCTGTGGGTTCTATCCCCAGTAACACATAAACCTTGTGTAGGTGTGGTAGTAATCCCAGGAAGGAGAAGCAGCAAGGTGTCCGTTATATATTGAGTTTGAAGCCATCCTAAGATATATGAGACGATGTCTTTTTAAATAGTAGCCTTGTTCAAGAGAAGTGAGAGGCATATGGAACTACTTAATGTTTTTGTGTAAAAATCCAGTTAGTTCTAAATATCATGAAAGCTAAAAAAAATGACATTACATAGTATCCCCCAACATTCAGTATTATTAACATCACAGAACAGGGCTGTCGAGGCAGCTTGGGAGGTAAAGGTACTTGCCACACAAACTCAGTGGCTTGAGTTTGGGTATTGGAAGACCTTTAATGGTAAGAACTAGGGCAGGGGGTGGTGGTTCATTCTCATAATCCCAGTAAATGAAAGCCTGAGGCAGGAGGATAAAGAATTTGAGACCAGCTTTGGCCATGTGACAAGTCAGAGGCCAGACTGGGCTATATGAGACTGACTTAAAAACCTAAGACTGCTGCTACCAAGTCTTGTAATATTATTGGGGATTTAGAAACCGAAGTGCAAGTTTGGAATTCATGTGTCTGTGTTTATTGCATACTAGATTCTATTGAGTAACATGGTGGCTTCATCTGTAATATCCAGGATGCGTATTTCCCCCAGTGTAAAAAGTCTGCTTCTAGAGACCATCATTTGAAATTATGCTGACTTCTGCTCTGGGCACTGCTTGTGTTATAAAACTGTCCAGTGTACATCTTTTCAGTACGTCCCAAACTGTACTTTTCTTAGACTTCGGACCCATCTTAGTGTTGTCTCCATCGCTAACATTGCTTGCTTCTGTGCATCTGTTTGGAGCTGCTATAGGGAAAGGAAGACTTCAGAAAAAGGATGGGTGCTCCTGGGCAATGCTACAAAATGAGGACTGGATGATCTACCAACTCTCAGTGGTAGCAATCCTATGTTTCATGGGAAATCAGGCTATAGCGCTAGAGTGGTCCATTTTCAAGCATTCTATGTACAGAATCCCTAAAGAGCTCCTTGACAGTCACTGACTCAGCAGCTGGCACACATCTATAACCCTAGTACTCAGGAGGCTTAGACAGGGGGATTGCTGTGAGTTCCTATTCCCATTAAGAAAAAAAAAGTTCTTGGTTCAATAACTAATCTCTAGTTATATTATATATGGTAAGTATTTGCTTTGTTTGTTTGTTTTGTTTTTGTTTTTTTAGAGACAGGGTTTCTCTGTATTGCTTTGGAGGTTGTCCTGGAACTTGCTCTGTAGACCAGGCTGGCCTCTGCCTCCTGAGTGCTGGGATTAAAGGTGTGTACCGCCAAAGCCTGGCTAAGTGTTTGCAATGAGTTTTTGTAGTTTCTAAGCAATGCTATTATTCTTTTTACTAATTTATTTTCTTATTTTTTTGAGGCAGGATCTTGTATAGCCCAAGCTTGTAACAAACTTATTCTGAATCTGAGGCATATACCATCACACCTGGCTCTAAAATTTTGTTTATGAGGCAGAGTATCATGTAGTCCAGGATGGCCTCAAACTACCTGAAGATGGGTATGAACTTATGACTTTGCCTTGACTGATCAAGTTCCAAGATTACTGGTGAGTGCTATCACACCTAGTTCATGTAATGCTAGACTAAGAACCCAGGACTTCCTGCATGCTAGATAGACTCAGACCCTGTACCAACCAAACTGTATTCTTTGTTTTTTAGATGACTCACTTCACTCTTCTGATCTGTGGTGTTTTCCAAGGACACCTAACTAATTTTATCAAACTAAGTTTTATCCCATTTATTTTTAGAGTTAATTTGTTTGCAATTTTCCACAAATAGTTTCTAAACATATAGAGGGTGGAATTATAATGAACAAAAAACAAAAGAAAGCTTTACAGACTGGAAATAGCCTTTCCCTATTAACACAATGAGAATTTGAGAGAGAGAGAGAGAGAGAGAGAGAGAGAGAGAGAGAGAGAGAGAGAGAGAGAGAGAGAGAGAGAGCGTAGTGGCAGGGGAAACAGGTACGCAGGTATGTATATGTGTCTTTTGATATAGGGTCTCATTCTGCAGTCCAGACTGTCCTTGAATTTACTGTAATCTCCCTGCCTTAGCTTCCCGAGTACTGGGTGGCAGGTGAGAGTTACCCTGCCCAGCCCAATAAGTTCTTGAAGATGAGAAATCGGAACAAATTGCATCATTTCCCTGCCACCTCTTTACTACCTTTTTTATGTGTTTCACATCATACAGGGAAAAATGGACTTAACAGAGTCATCTACTTACAGCTTTGCTTTTAATTCTGTCGTACCTGAATCTACAATCATCTTTCCGGAAACAAGGCATGAGCAAGTAAAAACTTTCAGAGTGTCTACGCACATACAGCCGTTTTCCTCCTTGGCATAGCAGCACATGTCCAGGGCAGCTGAAGGAGGAGGCTTACAAATTAGACCCTGTCTCAGAAAACAGGCTTTTTTTCCCTGGGGCAGGGGGAGCAGGCTCAGGGAATATGCTCAGTACACAGTAAATATATGTCCAAGATTTTTTTAAAAAGCAAAATACTTTTAAAAAGACATCAACACAAAATCCAAAAGAGGAGAAAGAAAGAAAGAAAATCAGAAGTGCTGGGGAGACAAGAGCAGTGTTAGAAATGTAGTTCATCCAGTCAATTCAGTCTTGTCCTTTTCACAATCCTTGATGAGCACTAGGACCAAGAGCAATGCTGGTTCAGGAGGGAAATAGGTCCCTTAATGCACCCTATCCTCTACTCCTGGGTTTGCCTCTTGACTTTAGGTTCCCATGGTTCCTATCTTCATCATGTTCTCCTCTTTCATTCCTTTGAGATCTCAAAGATTAGCACTCAGACTTAGCTCTATGTATAAGCATGAGCAATAGCTCAGAGTGAGCTGTGGACCTGAGGGCCTAGAAACGACTGTGTTGTGTTCTATTGAAACTCCTCCACACTCCCTGCCAGCAGCTTTCTTGTTGATGACAGCCAGCCCGCTTGGGATACTACTCAATTACTACTTTTGGTTTTTTAACAATTTGCATGAATCTCAAAACCATTACACTGAACAAAACAAAACAAAACAGTCTCACACTGAACAAGCCCCTTAAGTGCAATCTAGGAAAAAGCAGAACCTGGACTAGAGATGAGTCAGTGGCGAAGGGTGCTGCTTACTGCTCCTGCACAGGATCTGAATTTGGTCCCCAGCACGCATGTCAGGTGGTCTGCAACCCTCTGGAATTCCAGTTTCAGGGGATCCAACACTACTGCTCTCTGCCAGACTTACGCTCATATGTACTCAAATAATTAAAGATAGTAAAATATGTCTTTTTTAAGAAGGAAAGGGAAACCAATTCACAGAGATCAAAAGAGCATGAGTTGGGGACCCAAGAAAACGAGGAGGAAGGACTTTCTAGGTTGCTAAGAATGCTCCCTATTGTAGCTTTTTCTTTAGGGAATGTTGCTTATTCACATGTATATAGCTTCCTAAATTTACACAGTCATATTCTAAAGACAACTAAAGGTTTTAAAAATTCAAGATGGTTGGCTTCTGCATCTAAGTACAAGCACAGTTCAGGGTCTCCTGTTGGAAATTCTGGGAAGATTCCATGGAGTTCAAGAGAATGTGGCAAAAGTCCCAGAATAGCCCATAGAAGAGCATGTGATCTTTTGTATTTATCTCTGCCCCAGGAACAAACTATTAAAATACTAAATAATCATGACCCGATGGTGTTCTTTTACTCCTATAGGATGAGAAATTGGCTTAGCTTCACTGTGTGTAATCCCTGGAGAAATCTGTGTGTGTTGGAAGAGTCTAGGGGTACAATGAATCTTTGATAATAAAAAAAACGCATTAACATTCAGATTCCACTCTTATGAGTTTATAAAAGCTACAAACAATCTTAACACAATTTATAGACTGGTGAGGATGCAGAAGTGTATTAGTATTAGAAACACATACAGAAGTTTGCCAAACCATGGTCACATGAGCAAACCTAGAAAAAGCTTCCAGTCCGATAAGAACAGCTCGCCAGGTATAAGCTCTACATGGGTAGAAGTGATGGGCAGAGATTTGAAGGCTAGGCAAGGAAGGCAACATGAAGCCAGGTATGGTGTCTGCCTGTCCTCATTCCCGTCTGCGCATTGACCTTCAGCCAGCTCTAGGTGTAGTGGAACAGAGGTGTCATGCTTCCGGTGTCCCACAGGTCCTGTGACGGACTGATTAGATATTTATCAGGACCAGAAACAGGAAAGGGGGAAATGCTGCCTGGATCTACAAGGGGATGGAGAAGGCGGTAAGCTGCTTGTTTATCTGTTTCCTGTAGAGGAGTCAAAGTCATGGTGTGGTTGACCTTCCTGCTCCCACCTCCGCACAGCAATGCTGTCCAGTCTACCACCCATTCAGCGGGAATGCCTGGCCCGCTTGTGTGTTGTGATATGGGAAAATGAAGAGCAGGATCCTTGACTTTCTAGAATGAGTAATATCTATTCTTTCTGTTCTGGTGCTTCAGTGGCCTCTTCCCTTTGAGGCGAAGGGATGCTGATATAGCAAAAAGAAATGTTTCTTTTTTTTTCTTTCAGGAATGTATTCACTGTTTTACACTTCCTCCAATATTTTCAGTTCTTCACTATTTCACTTAGACAGTAGGATTAGGTTAGGCATGGTGACTCATGCTGTACTCCCAGCTCTTGGGAAACCATGGCAGACGGAAGCTTGGGACATGTAATGAACTCTCTGAGCCAGTCTGGGCTACTGAGGAAGGAAGAACCTGCCTTTCAAAAGCAAGTAAAAGACGGGCTATATGGCTCAGGAGGTATAGGTTCCTGCCAAGTGAGCCTGGGCTGGATTCCAGGCTCCTGTGTAAAAGTGGAAAGTCCTGTCCACCGGCTACAATACAGCATGATTCTCTAGCCTCCACATGTGAGTTATGGTGCAAGTGCCCACAGTCTCACACACACACACACACAATGCACGTGCACACACTAGTAAATAACAGTGATAACACAATCCAAAGCAGTCAAGGTGTGCTAATGCTGACAGCTCTCACCCCTGGCTTGATTTGACTTCTCTAAATCAGGTTAAATGGGCTGGAATTATGTCATCTGGGAGAGGGAGTTACTAGACACTCTTGCAAAAATCAGTGTAGAGATTTTTTTGGGTTGCTTATGGTCTGTATGATGGAAGGTATTGGTTTCTGTTAGAGCAGAGTGTGTTACATTGTTGCCAGTTTCTGTCTGAGTGTGTGCTTTTCTATCTGTGGTGTTGCTGGGAACTAGAGTCATATGTTGTAATTGGCAAATTAGATCCAATTAGGTCATTTGAACAACTTAGGTGGGATCCTTATTCATTTGGAATATAGGAGACAAAATGTGCAACTTTTAAAAACACACACACACACGTTGTGTGTGTGTGTGTGTGTGTGTTTGTGTGCGTGCACACACATGCACTCGAGTGTGTGTGCTAGGACCAGAAGAGCAGAAGAGGACACTGGACCCTCTGAAGCTGGAGTTACAGGTGGTTGTGAGCTGCCTCACATGGTGCTAGGATTGGAACTCACATCCTTCCGAAGAACAACAAGCTCTTAACTAATGAGCCATCTCTTCAGTCCCTAAAATGCATAACACTTTAGGAGAGGAAGCATGGCATGTGCTTTTAATGATCAGAGTTATGATGACACAACTCGTTGAGTGGAGAGCCCCACAATCATCTAAATTTCAGAGCTGTTTCCCAGTCGGTCTCTTACATGCTTCCTGCTCAACTCCGCCAGCAACCTAGGAGCTGTGAGCCCCAGTTTCTTGCTCTAACCTTAGGTCATGTGAGCTGACCTAGTCACATCTGTTAGACTTTGCTTTTGTAGGTAGTGTCCTACTGTGTATTGAAGGCTTGCAAAGCTTCTGCCTCTGCTACTCCTAAATGCTGGGATTACAGTATGCATCACCATGCTTGGCTCTATATATGCTGCTTTTATCTATTTCTTTCTTAATTTTGTAAGTCCCAAGCTGGCTTACAACTTGCTGTATAGCTGAGGATGACCTTGAACTTCTCTCCTCCCCCCGCCCCCACACCCTTGTGCCTTCACCTCCTGAGTTCTAGGATTACAGGGAAGCACCCCACACCTGGTTTATGAGGTGCTGGACATTGAACCCCCTGTGTCCCACATGCTATAGGCAAGTGCTCTATCAACCGAGCTGCACCCCAGCCCCATTTTCTATTTTTATGATTTTCAAGAATGCTAATCGCTCAGATGTCTGTGCCTCCGTGACCATCTCTGCCCCCCTCAAAGTGTACCATCTCTTTGGAGGTGGAGTGTCTTCATTGCTTTGTACAAATGAGAAAATATTTATTTCTAATTTCAGAGTTTCTCTCGCTCCTGTCTAGACACTTCAGATAAAAACAAATTTAGATTGCCAGTATAGTTATGTTCTAAAATAAGAAAATATTTGTGAGAAATCGCTTGTAAAAACATGAGCTATCAGACGCCTGGAGACTCCCCTCACCCGGCTTCTGCCGTACCAGAAATAGAGTTTGGTTATCTCACATGCTGTTCTGCCTCAGCGAGCTGCCTGTGGCCACCTGCAGAGAGAGCCCTTGGTTTCTCTTCCTTGTCTAGGTGCCAGTCAAGGCAGCTTTGAGAAAAACACTTCCTCAGGTGGAAGTGAACTTGGGTATCAAAGAAGTTTTCCTAGGTTGTTCAACCTGTAAAATACTTTGTCACAGGGCCAATAAGATGGTTTGGATGGTGAAAGTGCTTGCCCCGCAAACCCAGTGACCTGAGTTTATTGCCTGAAACTAGGGTTAAAAAACCGGTGGCCATTCATCTTCCCAGCATGCCTTCAACCCCCACAGCACTCGGGGCACAGAAAAGCACCACCATGTCCCGCTCTTGTGTGTATGCTGGGAATCTGAAGTACTTTCCTGTGGCTGCACCCCATCGGATGAGCCCTCTCTCTAGCCGAATTTTTATTCTGCGATAGGAACAATTATAAAGAATTTGAGTGGGAGGGGGTTGGTGCACGCTTTTAATCCCAGCACTCAGGAGGCAGACACAGGCAGATTTATGAGTTTGAGGCCAGCCTGGTTTGCACAGAGAGTTCCAGGACAGCTGAGCCTACAGAGAGAAACCCTGTCTCAGGAGTCGGGGTGTTTAGTCCTGGATTCTGTTCCAAGTGTCCACATCATGAGGCTTACAAACTTCTTTTAACTCCAGTTCCGTGGCCGTCATAGGCACTAGCACCCATTTAGAAACCACACACACTACACAAAAACAGTAAAAATAATCTTAAAAAATTAACTAGATTTGGTGGCACAGGCCTGTAATTCCTATTCCAAGAGGCTAGAGCAGAAAGATCAAAAGTTTAAGGCCTGTCAAGGATGCTGTTCGGTTGGCAGAGTGCCAGTTTGGTATGCAGCAGGCCAAGGGGACCATCCCTGTCACTGCATGTAGTATGGTGTTTGCTTACACACCTGCAATTCCAGCACACTTGTGATAGAAGCAGGGCATCTGGGGTTCAAGATCATCCTCAGCCTCAAGCAGTTACTTTCCAAACTGAGCTACATGAAGCCTTGTCTCAAAACAAAATTTCCAAGGCCCTCTGTGACAGTGCTTCAGATTCCCAGTGTACGCATAAGAGCAGGGTATGGAGACCCCAGTGCTATGGCGTTGGAAGGAAGGATAGCGCTGAGTCGCTGAGTTCCAGGTTCAGTAGGAGTTCCTGTCTTAGAAGATAATGTGGAAAACACTGGAGAAGACACCTGCGTTGACCTCTGCCTGGGACATAGGACTACACACAAAGCAGATTGAAAGCCGGCTTGAACAACTGAGTGAGATTCTGTCTCAAAAAATACAAAGTAAGAACATCTATAAGATAACTCAGTGTCCGCATCCGAATGGACTTTGGGAGCCCATTCCACATGGAGGGATGCTATCTCAGCCTGGACACATGGGAGAGGGCCTAGGCCCTGCCCCAGATGACATGACAGACTTTGGAGATCCCCCATGGAGAACCTCACCCCTCTCTGGAGAGTGGTTGGGGATTGGGTGGGGGGTTGGGGGGAGGGAAGAGAGGGAGCTGAGTATGACATGTGAAGCTAGCTTGTTTCTAATTTAAATTTTAAAATGTCAAAAAAAAAAAAAAAAAGATGACTCAGTGTCAAGGAAGCTAGCTAGTAGCCAAGAGTCACAACCTGAGTTTGAGCCCCAGGTCCTACATGGCAGAAAGAGAAAACAGTCCTGTATGCTATCCTCTGACTTCCACACATTGGCCGTGGTATGCATGTGTGAAAACCCCACAAAAAAGTCAGTCAATCAATACATACCCCTTAAAAAAAGAATCCAGCAAAAATTAAGAGGTAGAGGGAAGAACATGAAAAACTTTTAGAGTATTTCTTTATTATTCTGACTGATTGATTTTACATGCATGAGTATTTTGCTTAGATGTATCTGTATACCACATGTGTGCTGGTGCCTCAGATGGCCAGAAGAAGGCACCAGATCCCCTGGAACTGGAGTTACGGGTGGTTTTGAACTGCCACTCTGGTGCTGAGAGTTGAATCCAAGTCTTCTGCAAGAACCACAGGTGCAATAGACTGCTGAGTCATCTCTCAAGACCTAGGCAAGGACATCAGAAATAAATAAGAAAAAATAAAAGACACCTACTGATTAGTTTTTTCTAGCCCAGGGAGGTATTGTCTGTTTATTGAAAGGACACAGGAAACTGAGTT